TTCGGTTCGCACACTGCACCTCACTGGAACCTACTCGCGCGCGCGGCGACGGTCCATTCCGGCCACTCCATTGCTGCACTGGTTGCAATCCTCCAATGTCACGTCGTTGGACCTTGTTGGAATCTTTTCTCATGGGGACGCCGTTGCGTTGGCGGCCGTGCTTGCGCAGGCCTCGTCGCTTCGAAGCGTGAGCCTCGTCGACTCGGACGCGCTGCTCCGTGCGATTTTCGTAGCGCAAACGTCACTGCATCATCTCACGTCATTTGTTGTCAGCACCCGCGATTCAGCCAGTGTCGAGCACCTCATGCTGCACGTATTGGATCTCTCGGCGCTCACACGGCTCGACGTACACTGCAACAGTAATTTGAGCTGGCTACTGAAGCTGCTGCCCGCAATGCGATCGCTGAACGAGCTCGCGTTGCGCGGTGGCTATTTTCACAGCGTGCCAGCACCGAGGATGCACGATCGGCTGCGTCTATTGACTCTTGAGGACGTGCAGACGGCAACGAAGGCTGATGCCACAGCACTGCGTCATTGGATGAATGGCTTGCACACGCATTGCGCCATCAACCTTCGTACAACGACCATTGCAAACGATTCAAAGCGCTCGCATCCAGCACTCTCGCCCGATGCCATGTAATCTAAAAGTATAGATAATTTGTACGCCAAGGGTCTCCAACCCCGTTTCATTTCATGGTTTGTAGATAGATACGACGATTTTTCGCGTGAATAAACACAGCAATACTGGCTGTAAGCTCCATGCAGGAAGATTGCCGCTTACATGCACGGAAAAATTCGACAGCGTCGTGCGTGGGGACGCCGGAAGAAGCGTCAACGATCGCATCGGTCAGCACGGTCCAAAGCTCCTTCTGCGCCATGACGGTGAGGTCCGTGAGGTCGTCTGGGGCCGTGAGGCGCTCCTTGAAAGACGGAACGCTGAGGTTGCCGCGTTATAGTCGGTATGAGAGCCCGGGCTTAAGCTCGTGGACCTGCTCTCAACGATACCTGCTTTGGAACCTATGCACCTTGGTCCATATCGTGTCCTCCAGCAATCGTACCAGCAAATCGCGCCAACACCGTTCGTGTAACATTGTGGTAGATCATTTCGCCATGCAACGAAGGCGAGCAGCTCTGGTGAAGGTGCGCAGTCCGTTGGCGAGGGCTAGGGTTATGAAGCAAACCTTGCAAAACTACGTTTTCCGCGCAACCTTGATGCGGTTGGACTCACGCGCGCGGTGTTGATATGGATGGTAAGAGAGTGAAGCTGCTGGATCACACGTCATCTGCGTTGAGAAGCGGCGTTACGATACAGTAGATACCGACGCTTTCCACTGCTCGCAACTTGTCGCTCCAAAATCTCGGCATCCACCTCGCCACGGTCTGGGCTCTTCTCGGATCGCTATCCCGCGTCGTCAGCACCATGGTCCGCATCGCGGTAAGCATCAGCGCCGACACGTACAAAGAGGTCGCTCGTCTAGCCTGGAGGGACTCTGGCGTCGCGATGCTGCCTCGATACATCAACGAGTACGATCTCCTAAGCCCCTAAGCAAGCTTTGAACCATTATGAATGACATTTTTTCATCGCTTGCAGGCTGGGAAGGCCAGAGACACATAGAACACGATGGTCCTCATCTTCGCAGCTGAGAGACACCTCGAGTCTTATTGTCTGTCAAGGTCCAGCCATGGAGGAGCTCGTGCTGGACGTATTAATACGCAATGCCAATGGTCGACTTGTGTAAGCTGCACCAATGTAAACAAATATCTTTGACTGCTTCGGGTGACGCGACCAGCAGCAACGCTATAGCTCAGCCTGAACCAATGGGATGTTAATGATGTCCTTGCGCGCGCCAGGTAGACGCATCGCGCCAGGTCGTCCTCGCGGTCCCGGCAAGACTCCCATTTTCTGATTGTGTTAAGCATTTGCATTCGCTCCGTCACCTGCCCTATGTTTCTTTGTGTGCGTTTGTCGGAAGAGTGCTTGCTTCTCGATAAGCCTCGCAATCGAGGGGGAATACCCTGGCACGTGCTTGTCAGTGGGTGTTGTCATCCGGATACCGAGCGTAGCGGATCGTGGCCACCCGCCAATCAAAATACGGTGGCGCGATCTATTTTTTGGTTCTTGAACCGACATGCGTGAATGGTCATTTTTGAAGCAAGTGCAACATGGCCACGAAGCGGATCCATACCGTGCCGACACCAGCCTTAGCTCTCAACCACCTCCGCGTCGCAGTCGTCCAGTGTTTGGACTCGTACCACGACGTCGTCGCCTTTCTTCGAGCCTTGCCGTCGCTTTCGGCGCCACTGGCCGCGCTGCTCGCACTGCTACAGGGGTCGTCGCGCGCCATGGACCAGTGGCCCGCGATCGCCCTTGAACGCTTGAGCGAGAGCGAGGTGGAGCTGGCGCTCATCGCGCTTCCCGCGATACCTGCCATCCACGTCCACAACCGCGACGATTTCGACGACAATCTCTGGGCGCGGGTTGCCGGCCTATGCACGCTCGCAGCGACGTGGCCGACCAAGATCACGCACCTGAGCGAATGCATTCAAGACAACGAGATCCCGTACGTTCAGCGCATCGTCTCGCACTGCACTCGCCTCGATGCCATCGTCCTGCACCTTGACGCATTTGCGCCGCTCCTGCCGTCGCTGCCACGTGGTCTTCGCCACGTAGCGTTGATGGCCAAATTGTATGTGCCCCCTCCGATACAGAACATCGCACCGACCTTGCGGCAGTGGGTCGAGGTTGGCACGAGCAGTAAAAAGCACATTAGCTTCCACAACACGTGGGTGCTGAGTGACGCCGAGGCTGTCGCAAACGTACTCGCAACCGCCCCGTCTCTGACCGGCCTCGACATTGACGATACGTCCGAGCTCGTCGAAGTCGCTGCAGTATGTGACGGCATTTGGTATCAAACGAACGCCGCTCAAGGAAGCGAAGCAACTTTTGGCGCGACTGGACGTCGCCAAGCTCACGCGGCTCGAAGTGGACGACGTGGCCGACGTCCGCTGGGTCCTCTCGTTGCTGCATTCGATGCCCAACCTCCAAGATCTCTCGCTCAACTGCGGTGAGTTCAAGACGATCCCTGCCACGCTGGCTGCCGCGACGCCCCGTCTGCGGAAACTTCAAGTGCGCAATATCGGATTTTCGGCCACGGCTTTCAACAAGTTTCTCGGGTGGGCGTGAGGCTTGAAGCAGCTGCGCTACGTCTCGTGGGACGTTCAGGGGCACGACAACCGGCAGCTGGCCACGCTTGCGTCGACGCTCCGCCAATGGATCCACACAACAGGCGTCTCCGAGATCCATTTGTCCGGTGCCCATGGAAATTGCGTCGCCGAAATGGTGGCGTCGGTGCTGTGCGAGTCGACACGCGGCACAGGCCTCACGCTTGTGGACCTGCATAGCGACGGATGCGTCGTCTCTCCCGATATGGTGTGGGCGCTCGCCCAAAGCATTGCCCACCTCACGAACACCAGGATCAACATCGCGGCTTTTATCGACGATGAGACGTACCAGCACGTCAAGCGTCAAGCGGAGGTGCACTATGGCGTGTCCTTGACAAGTCGAACGTACAGGGATTTCAGTCTACACAGCATAAGTCGCCCAACCTACCGTTACTACAGTACTATATATGAACGTGTTTCGCGTTATCTTCGTTGTTACAAAGAGTTCGCATACGTAGAGACTAGCAATCTCCTTCGTCTTCATTCGCTCGCCGGGCCGTGGCTGCGCAGGCGGCGGCGCGGGGGTGCGATCTTGTTCTTCTGTAGTCGCGCGGGGACGCTTGTGGCCGCGGGTGAGGCCCATGATGACAAGTTCCGTAGT